TTTCAGGACTCACTTCTGGGACCACTCGAGGTTCATGCCCGACTGCATGGCGAAGGCCGCCAGCATCTCCTGCTGCTCGGGGCTCAGGGTGGGCACGGGGCTGCTGGAGGGGGTGGGCGCGGGCAGAGCGAAGGCCTTGCGCAGCTCCTCGGGGCTCGCCCCCCGCACGAACAGCTCGTCGTTCACCAGGCACAGCCTGGGGGCACAACGGGGGGGTTGGGGCAAAACAGAGGGATTTGGGGGGAAATGGGGGGGTTTGGGGAAATGGTGGGATTGGGGGGAAATTATGGGATTTGGGGAGGAAAATGGTGGGATTTGGGGAAATGGTGGGATTGGGGGGAAATGGTGGGATTTGAGGGAAATAGTGGGATTTGGAGGGGAAACGGTGGGATTTGGGGGGGAAAACAGTGGGATTTGGGGATAACAGGGGTGGAAGGAGGGGGTCCCACCCCGGGTGATGGCACAGGGGGGGTTGGGACCCTAGAAGTGACCCGTTTTTAGGGTCATCCCTTGGCCAAACAGGGGGAAAACAGGGAGACAGGGAGGAGGTGTGTGAGGGGGGGGTCATCCCATGTCGTTGCACAGCCCAGGAACGGGGGGAAAACGGGCGGATTTGGGGAAAAAGGGGCAGATTTGGGGCAGATTTGGGGCAGATTTGCCCCAGGGCCCCTCCCAGCCCTCGCCCACCCCCTCCCAGTCCCAGCTGGGAGCCCGGACTGGTCCCAGTTGGCCTCACCCGCTGTTCCCCGCCGGCACCGCGATGAACATCCGCGTGAAGGCCCGCACAGAATCCCGGGATTTGCCGTCCACTGCCGGGAACATGGAATGGGGGCAGGGGGAGGGAAAAGGGGGGGAAAGGGCAGAAAAGGGGAGAAAAAAGAGAGGAAAAAGAGAGGAAAAAAAGGAGAGAAAAGAGAGAAAATGGGGGGAAGAAAAAGGAGGGGAAAAAAAGGGGGGGGAGGAAAAAAATGTAGGAAAAAAGGGGAAAAAACATGGAGAAAAAGAGGGAAAAGAGATGGAAAAATGAGTAAAAAAGGGGGAAAAAAAGAGAAAAGGGGAAAGAGAAGAGTGGGAAAAGGGGGAGAAAGGAAGGAAAAAAGGGGGAGAAAAAAGAGAGAAAAGAAAAGGAGAAAAAAGGGGGAGAAAAAGGAGGGGGAAAAAGGGAGGAAGGAGAAAAAAGTAGGAAAAAAGGGGAAAAAACATGGGGAAAAAAGGGGGAAAAGTGATGAGAAAATGAGTAAAGAAAAAGAGAGAAAAAATAGGGAAAAAAAGGAGAAAAAAGGAGAAAAACGGGAAGAAAAAGGGAGGGAAAGGAGAAAAAAGTAGTGAAAAGGGGAAAAAACAGGGGAAAAAGACAGAAAAAGGAGAAAAGTGGAAAAGGAGGAAAAGGGAGAAGAGTGGGAAAAGATGGAGAAAGGGAGGAAAAAGTGGGAGAAAAAGGGAGAGAAAAAGAGAAAAAAAAAGGAGAAAAAAGGGAGAAAAACAGGGAAGAAAAAGGAGGAAAAAAAGTAGTAAAAAATAGGGAAAAAACATGAAAAAAAGGGGAAAAGAGAAGGAAAAACGAGGGAAAAAAAGGGGGAAAAAAGGGTAAAAAAGGGGGGGAACTCACCTTCCTTGAAGATGCCGTGCACGGTGAAGCAGAGCAGCGTGTTCTGCAAGGGAGGGGGGGTCAGGGGGGTGTCCCCGGCTCAGGGGGGGGCAGGGGGGGGGCCCCGGCTCAGGGGGGGGCAGGGGGGGGGCCCTGAGTTTGGGGGGGGCCGGGGGGGGGGCCGGGCGCCCCTGGCGGGGGGTCAGTGTTTCACCGTCTGGGCACAGATGTCAACGACGAAGGAGTTCACGTCGTGCTGGGTCTTGGGCAGCTCGTTCAGAAAAGCCACCACGTTGAGCCTCGTGTGCTTGAGCAGCTTGAAACGCATGGCTGGGGACAGGAGGGACAGGGGGAGCTGAAAACACCCCAAAACCACCCCAAAATCCACCCCAAAATCAGCCCTAAATCCTTGAAACGCATGGTTGGGGACAGGAGGGACAGGGGGAGCTGAAAACACCCCAAAAACGCCCCAAAATCCACCCCAAAATCAGCCCTAAATCCTTGAAACGCATGGCTGGGGACAGGAGGGACAGGGGGAGCTGAAAACACCCCAAAAATGCCCCAAAATACACCTCAAAATCAGCCCTAAATCCTTGAAATGCAGGGCTGGGGAGGGGGGCACGGGGTGAGGCCCCCCCCGAGCTCAAATCACCTCAAAATCACCTGAAAACCACCCCAAAACCACCCCACAATCCACCCCAAAATCAACCCTAAACCCACCCCAAAATTCCCCTAAAATCCCTCTACCCCAACCCCCAAATCTCTCTAAAATCCACCCCCAAAATCCCTCCAAAATTTCCTCAAAACGTTCCCCAGAATCCCCCCAAAATGCCCCCAAAATGCCCCCCAGACTCCCGGGGGGACTCACTGGGGTCCTTCAGCTTCTTCACGTTCCTGCTGTCCTTGAAATACTCGTTCAGGCTGTTCCTGGGAAAAGGGGAGAGAAAGGAAGGGAAAAGTGGGAAAAGGGAGAAAAAGGGGG